TATATAAAATCCCAGGACACGTATGTGGAAGAGAATTGAGGTATAGAAAACAGAGGTAATTGTTGAAATTACTATACAGTCAGGGGATGCCAGATTTCAGATTTACTGAATGAAGCAAAGGCACATCACAGGAGTTCGTGGCAGCAAATAGCAGTTCACCTGTCTGTTATCATATCCTTGTACTAGAAATGAAAGAAAATGAACAGGAATTGAGTGGTAGAGACTGTCTAAGGGGTCACCAATAGCAGTGACCTCTCCCTCTTTGACACAAGACTAAGCTACATTCTTCAGCAATCCCCCACTCCCACCCCCCAAATAAATAAATTATTTGAGACCATGGCATTGAGTTCTAGCCAATAGAAGGTGAGCAGATGTGATGTGCTCCATATCCAAACCTGGCCTGTGAAACCTGGTACAACCTTTTATATTTTCTCAGTCTTAGTGTCTCTCTTTCCTTATAACTAGGCTCCGGTGGAAGTCTACAAGACCCAGGATATGGTGCAGAGGATCTAGTGGAGATCTACAAGCCCTTGCAGATGGAAGAGTCCCTAGAGATAAAAGAGCCTGGATCCTTGAATGACCCACACCCATTACATTTCAAACCACTATCTTATTTAGACTGTGATAAGAGTGAAAAAATAAACTTTTGCTGAGGTAAGCCACTGAGAGTGGGGTTGTTACTAGTTGCTAGTTCACCTGCCTAATGCATTCAGTTGGTTATAATTCTTAGAAATAATCTTGGTAGAAAGATCATGGCCTCAAAAATAAGTTGCGCAACGTGAAGTCCCACAAGGTATGCTAGCCCCAAATTTCAGTATTCCTTACTTGAAATGTACAACCTTTGGCTGCAGCTGGAATCACGACTCCAATGTGCTACGTATTCAAAATTTTTCTTACCCTCCTTTTTAAAAAAGAATGAGTAATGCTACTAATTCTTGCAATTTCACGTTAATTTTCAGTGGTTGCTGTAAGTCTCTCAGTTTAGTAAATGCAATTAGAAACAACCTTAAAATCAGCAGAGCAAATATACTAACTAAAATATAGCATAAGGGAGTCATTAGGCCAAGAAATAAAAGAGGACCACTAAACATGGGAAAACGCAGGCTTTCAAACATACCAACAAGCTCAGTCTTTTCATCCTCCATTTCATAAGAAAATTCTTACTCAGAAGTGCTTGGGTTTGCTGATACACACTTTTCTTTTTCTTATTCATTTCACCTGTTCATTTTAAAAACAAGGAGAGAGTAAATGTGGTAGATCAGAAGCTAGAAAAAAATAAGTTTAATGAGAAAGACCTTCATTATGCTTTTGAGCCAGTTATTTCCTACCTTTAGTAACTACTAAAAAAGAATTTAAACTATTCTTTCAGTAAATTCACGATCATGTGTCATACAGTGAAGGCTTACATGTTGCTGTGAAACTGGAAGCCACGCCATCAAAATTCCAAAGATCAATAAGACCACCAAGGTTGACAAATTTAAGGGAACTGTTAGATGTAAGTCACACTAGGAAGAAAGACCTAGTAATCTACTTACAAAGCAAAAAGGCCAATGAAAATCCTATGACTTAGCCACTGAACATTGTCTGATAGAGTGTGTAGTAGTAATAGTGTGCTGTGGAGTCAGTTCCAACTCTTAACGATCCTGTATAGGCTTTTCAAGTCTGTAAATCTTTACCGAAGCAGAAAACCTCATCTTTCTCACTTGGAATGGCTGGTAGTTTCGAACTGCTGACCTTGGGGTTAGTAGTCCAACTCATAACCACTACGCTACTAGAGCTCCTTTGTCTGATATTGTTGTTGTTGTGAAGTGCCATCGAGTCAGTTCCAACCCATAGTTATCCTGAATAAGGTTTCCAAGGAGCAGCTGGTGAGTTTGAACCGCCGCCTTGCAGTTCAAACGGCTTTACAGTCTGGCGCATTAACCCACAGTGTCACACCAGAACTCCTATAGTGCCAGAAAAATGAGCACTCCAATTCCAATGAACACTCAGATTCCAAGGTACTCAAAATACCACAGGGAAATCTCTGCTTCCTCCAAGTACAATCAACCTTACTGACGTGGATAGAGTAAAGATTTGAAGACCTTCATTTGCTGATATGGCATGACTCAAAATGAAAAGAGACTGCTGCAGACATACATTAATAATTGGAATGTGGAATGTATAAAGAATGGATCTGGAAAAATTGGAAGTTACCAAAAATGAAACTGAACACTTGAAGATAAACATCCTAGGCATTAGTGAGTCGAATCGGATTGTCCACTTTGAATCAGATAATCGTATGTTCTGCTATGTCAGAAAGGACAAATTGAAGAAGGTTGGCATGACATTCATCACCAAAAAGAACATTTCAATATCAATCCTGAAGTACAACATTGTCAGTGATGGATACTATCCACACACCGATAAGGAGGAGTAGTTCATATGACCATTACTCAAAATTTCCCACCAACAAGTAATTCCAAAGATGAAGAATCTGAAGATTTTTATTAGCTTCTGCCATCTGAAATTCATCAAATATGCAATCAAGATACATTGATAATTACTGGTGATTGGAATGTGACAGTTGGGAACAAAGAAGAATCTGCTTTTGGAAAATGTGATGTTGGCTATGGAAATAAAGCTAGAGATCCCATGACAGAATTTTGCAAGATCAACAACTTACTCATGGAAAATACAATTTTTCAACAACATAAATGGAGGTTATTGGACCATGCCAAATGGAATACATGAAATTCAAATTGACTACTTCTGTGGAAAGACAGTGGAGAAAGTCAATATCATCATTAATAAGTTAAACTTGAAATGAAAGAAAATTAAATCAAGAGCATATAAGGAAAAGTATGGCCTTGAATAAGTCCCACCTGAATTTAGAGACCAACGCAAGAATAGGTTTGACACATTGAGTACTAATGATTGAAGACCAGATGAATTGTGGGATGACATCAAAGGCATCATACACTTAGAAAGGGAAAGGTCATTGGAAAAGGAGAAGAAAGAAAGAAAAGACCAAAATGGATATCAGAAAACACTCTGAAACTTGCTCTTAAATGTAAGTAACTAAAGCAAATGAAGGAAAGGATGAATTGAGAGAGCTGAAGAGATGCGCCTGACCCAAGCCATAGTATTTTCAATAACCTTATATGCATGTGAAAGTTGGACAGTGAATAAGGAAGACCGTAGAAGAATTGATGCTTTTGAGTTATGGTGTTGGAGGAGAATATTGACGCTGTCATGGGCTGCCAAAAGAACCAACAGATCTGTGTTGGAAGAAGTGCAGCCAGAGTGCTCCTTGGAGGCCAAGATGGCCAAACTTCATCTCTCATACTTCAGACATATTGTCAGGAGGGAGCAGTTGCTTAAGCAGGATATCATGTTTGGTAAGGTGGAGGGTCAGAGAAAAAGAGGAAGACCCCCAGCAAGATGCATTGGCAAAGTGGCAGCATCAATGGGATCAAACATGGCAACAATAGTGAGGTTGGCCCAGGATTGGGCAGTGTTTGGTTCTGCTGTGCATAGGGTCGCTATAAGTCGGTACTGACTCAATGGTACCTAGCAACAACAACAGCAAAGGGGGGGATCAAGACAACAAGTAAAGAATTACAATGAAATGTGTAAAGACTTGGAATTAGATATAACCAAAAGGGAAGAACATGCTCAGCATCTCTGAAGCTGAAAGAACTGATGAAAAAATTCCAGCTTCCAGTTGCAGTAATGAAGAATTCTACGGGCACATGCTACATGTCAGATGCTGATAATCTGGACAAAGTTAAGAAGGCCACTGCATCAGGTTTGGAGGAAGACTTATTAACAATCTTGCTGGTTGAAAGTGATGAAGTCTTGAAGAAGTTAATGATAAAGATAAAAGACTACAGTCTTCAATATGGATTACACCTCCGGGTAAATATGGGTTATACCTCAATATAAAGAAAACAAAAGTCCTCACAACTGGGCCAATAATCAATATCACAATAAACAGAGAAAAGATTATAGTTGTCAAGGATTTCCTTTTTCTTGGTCTACAATCAATGCTTATGGAAGCAGCAATCGAGAAATCAAATGACTTATTGCAATGGGTAATTGTGCTGCAAAAGATCTCTTTAAAGACTTAAAAAGCATAGATGTTACTTTGAAGACTAAGATATGCCCTGATCCAAGTCATGGTATTTTCAGTTGCTTGTTCATTACAAAAGCTAAGCAACGAATAAGGAAGACCAAAGAAGAATTGATATCTTTAAGTTATGACTTTGTTGTTGTTGTCAGGTGCCATCGAGTCGGAACCGACTCATAGCGACCCCATGCACAGCAGAACGAAACAATGTCCGATGCTGGGTCAATCTCACTACCGCCACCACACTTGACGCCATCTATGATGTCACCTGGCTGATCCATCTCATTGGGGGTCTTCCTCTTTTTCTCTG